AGGAGGTGAGCGTTTAGGATTCTCTTATTGCCAAATGGAACAGATCACGATGCATCGTGTACATTTGTGGGCCTGTAAAACTGATAATAAGCAAACAAGTTACCTGTCAAATGCTGATCTCTACAGCCACGGCTGTGCTTTTCAGGAACTAGTTTGTGAAGCTGATTTGTCTTTTCAGGAGATAAGAGTTACACATGCTCAGGATTTGAGTACAAAGGAATGGGAATGGAGCTGAACAGATCCAACACCTGAAAGGACAATTGGATCTCATAAGGGACAAAACCATGAAAAACACCCTTCATTCAATAAAGCAACAGAATCGGCTCTGAGGAGAGGTAAGAAAAGCATTTGGTAAGTCTAACAAATGACAGGTTTCAGAGTGGTAGCTCCCTTTTAGGGTCACGAGTATTTGGACAATAAAACTAAGACAAGGGGCCAGATCGTCTCCTGGTGTAAATCAGCATGGCTCCATGCCAGGCAATAGAAATACATAGATTTACAGCAGCTGAGGATCTGATCCAAGGCTTTAACTGTGACATGGGATTCAGCAAAGTGCTTGGAGAGTTTACTCTGGCTCCAGGCTTACAGCTGTGGTGCTAAGCGTGCTGGATCTGAGCATTCATTGAACAGGAGGTGAGGAAATTCCAGTCACTTCAGATTTATATCAGAGGGGTACCGTGTTAGTCTGAATCTGCAAAAAGCAACAGAGGGTCCTGTGGCACCTTTAAGACTAACAGAAGTATTGCAGCGTCTGATGAAGTGGGCATTCACCCACGAAAGCTTATGCTGCAATACTTCTGTTAGTCTTAAAGGTGCCACAGGACTCTCTGTTGCTTTTTTCTGATTTATAGAGTGTCCCATCCACAGACACAATGGCAATGGTGCCTGGAACACAATCAGGGGTAGGGGTTGGGGTAGGGGAGTGGAACATGCAGGAGAAACACAGGAGCCCAGCTTCCGGACTGTGCAGCCAAGACGCCATTTCGGGTTCTTCTTTAACCCCTATTTGTGTATCTGTTGAAGCGATGTGTACTTCAATGGATGGACAGAGCTCAGCTCGAATGATAGGACCCAGATTCATTGAGTAAGATCATTTAGAAAGAGGGGAGAGAGAGAGAGAGATGAACAATAGAAATAAAGTGTTCCTTACTCTTGTTCACTCTTTTGTTGCTGTTAAAACCCCCGGGGAAGGGAAACCCTTCTGTTCCTCATGCTAAGAGGGAGGAGGGGTCTAGGAATAAACCTACCCTCAACTTTGTTTAAAAAACCCCAAGGGAACTCAGATTTTAAACCCCCTGCCCTAAGGGAAGGCAGGCAGTCTGCCATCACCGTGGAGCTCCTGGCCAGATCAAACCAAATTGCCCAAAATGTAAGGTCACCCCACAATCTGCACCCACAACCTCCACTGTGAGTGCTAATGTACCACTGTGATCCTAGAGAGAGTTGTAGAGGAGGAGAGTGGCCTCAAACTAGATTAGGACTGAGTCTTGGGAAAGTAGAGAGGAATTTATGAAGAGTGCTCGAGTGACTAGCACTGAATGCGCAGGCTGGAGCCATGCGGCTTCGCAAGTCACGTTGGTTAAGGAAAGTCTGGGAAGGGAAGAGGACAGACTTCCTGGCAAAGGTTTAAATATTTTAGCCTAGGCTGAATTTTCTGTAACTGTGCCCCTAGCTAACGGATTTTAAGGGCGATGTTATTGTAGGCATCGGAAATTTGTTGCCCGCTGATATTTTAATAGGTAATAACATTTTCGCCAGGTCTAAGCATATTAATGTTATAACGCGACCCCAGAGCAGATATGGATCTGATTCACCTGCTCTATCTGTGGTCAGCAGGGCCGGCTGCGGAGGGGAGGGAAATGCCTGCAGTAGCAGCTTGCCTTCTGAGCAGGAATTGGAAAATTCTGTGGTGCTCTGGGCTTCAGTGAAACTCAAAAGGGGTTTGAGAAAGCCCCACCAGCTGAGCCTTCTCTGGACCAAGTGCTCATGTGACAGCCACATGTTCAAAATAAAGAGCAGTTCTCTGCATAGGGAAGAATCGAGCTGAACTGTGTATCAGGGCTTCCATACAAACTGCATCCCCCAATGCTCTACGGGGTGAAATAACACAAGACTCGAAGCAGGGCATGTTGCTGATGGCACAAAGCCATGGGGTAAAGACACTCAGAGCAGCTGGGCACCAGCAGCTCCTACTGGTTTCAAAGGGAGATGCAGGAGCTCAGCATGTGGCCAGTGACAGACAGAGGGACAGAGACACATGGAGCCAGGAGAGTAATTATGAGGCACAGGCAGAGGCGGAAGATCTGATTGAAGGCGAGCTCTTTCTACCAGCAAGTAGGGCCACAGGAGACTCTCTCCTCCCAAATACATGGAAATGGGGATGCTTGTCACTCAATAACTCATTTTCCCATTTACAGCCCCACTCGGTGACTGTAGATCTGCAGCGTAATGGAGCCATTTAATTGATCTCTGCTCATCTATTTTTTACTTCCACAGCCAGCCAGACCCATCTCCCTACAGCTCCCCTGGGAGGATGTGGGGCAGGTCACTTTCCTCACTCTGCCCAAATGAGGAGATGGTGACGATGACCCGCGACTCTCTCTTGTGATTCAGTGATTGTGGGTGCAGCCACCAGGGCTGCAGCGTTTCACACCAGGATGTCATCCAGAGCACATGGCTGTGGTCTGTGGGTCTGAGTATGGGGACCAGGGTGAAGGAATAGAGTCTTCTGGGACCAACCTGCTTCCACTGCTAAAGAAGGGAATGAAAGGGAGAGGGGGGGAAGGAGAATTGAATAGGTGATGGAGCTGAGGTAAGTGGAAGGAAAGGCAGATTGGGTAAGAGAAGGATTGGTAAGGGAGGGGAGGAGAGAAGTGGAAGGAATTAATGAAAAGAAACCCACTAGGGAACTGAGAAAGGAACAGAGAAATAAAAGAGAAGAGGAATGGAAGAGGAGAAGGAGAAAAGTGGCAGGGCAGAAGAGAAGGTGAAGATAAGAAAAAAGAGTGGAGAAAGCCAAGAAGAGAATGGAGGAGCACAGAAGAGGGGGTTGAGCATTTTGGGATTCAGCCCTGGCTGATGCTAAGGAAATCAGATGATTGTCCTTGTGAAGAGGTGAAATAAACAGCCATCTGGGACTATTAGGAGCTGAAAATGCAGATGCAATCCAGTCAAGCCAACCCACAGCATTCTTAGCAATGATGTTCAAGGCATGAAGACCTCCAGGAAGTTGAGTCATTTTGCAGTCCTCTACAATATGTGTCGTGGTTTGTGGGCTGCCCACATTGACATAGGGACTGTCTCTAAAAAGCCAGCAAAATTCCACTGCAGCACAAATTCCATGTCTGGTAAGAAACCAGTTCAGAAGGCTTCATTGCCTTCCTGGTCAATCAAACCCACGTTGTTGTTGAGTGCGGTCTAAGACAAGATAATTATTTGTCACTTTCTCTGCGGACCATAAAGCGCCCCATGCGTCCTCTACCGTAAATCCCTCTCCCGGTAAACTTATGTGCAACGGGCGACGTGAGGGCAGACGACCATTTGGGGGATTAAACCAGCCTTTAATTAATGGTAGATGTGGCATAGCCTGCAATTTCATCACGAGCTTTGCTGTGCTTTTCTCTCTGCGAACACTGGATGGAGTAATATTGCAGAGAACCGGTCCCCATGGTAGAGGAGTAGATTTAAGTGTGCCTGACATAATGCACATGGTGGAATTAAGTTGTACATCAGTCATGTTTGTCTGAGATGAGCGAGCCCACACTGGAGCTCAATACTCCACTGCTGAGTGAGAGTGACAAGGCTGAAGTGAATAATGTTTGGGGGTCGGCGCCCCCTGTTGTTCTGGGCAGTTTTCCAAGCAGGTTGTTGCATGTTTTGACCTTAGTCATTGTCTTTGTAAGATGATCATGGTGTATGAGAGTTCTATCGAATGTGACACCTAGATAGACAGGGTGTGGATCATGCTTTATTCGCTGACATTGAGAACTATGGTCAGCTCTCTGCCCACTTGTGCATGATGTAAGTGGAAGACACTCGACGCAGTCCTACTTCCACTTGATATCAGGCCCCACAGATGACAATAATTGGCCATAGCAGCCGTGTTTGTATTCCAAACACTCTCAGGTATGTCAAAGGCATGTGACCGAGGGCCGAGGCATATGCCGTCTGCATAGACAAACTTGTGAGATCCAGCATATGGTAGGTCATTCGAATACAAGTTGAGCAATGTTAGAGATAAAACGGATCCTTGCGAGAGGCTGATGTTTGTACATTTCAAAAGGAAATGGCCATAGCTGAGAGCTCTCTCCTTGGAAGGGATTCCTTTGCAACTGATGGTATTTTTATTTTTTCCTGATTTGACCATTGCAGCGTATTGTTTATCTGAGGCTCACAAAGAGATTTGACCCAGTCAAGAAAAAAATGAATGGAACTGATCATATCCCCCGAGAGGCACCTTCTCCTAGCACAGGAGCGGAAACCAGTGAATCTGTTTCTACTTTCAGGTGAAAGAAAGGCAGTGCTGACCTCTCAAGGAAGGAAGATTCCAAGACATGGCTGAACTTAAGAATGCAGGCAGGCAGGTAATGATACCAGTGCAGATGCAAGAAAAGCATCTTATGACTCCAGTTTGGGAAAAAGCCACTTCTACATCATTTATTAACCAATGTAGCTGGTTGCCCCTCTGAAAATCACAGCCAGGCAATGGAAAATCACGGACAAGGAGGTGAACAGAGAAGAGCATCTGGAAGCCAAATGAAGCACATGTTGACCGATGGCTCTGCATAGCTAGAAAAACAAATACAAATTCTCTGAAACATTGATGTTTGCAGGTAATCATCATTCAAGATGTGCGGGGACCAGATGACCACCCATGCCAGGAGGAAATGAGTGAAAGCGATTCTCCTGGGGAAGAGGTAAGAAATGCCCAGGCTCAGAGCACCCAAGTGGATATTAATGGATCTTATTAACTTGCAGGTAAAAGAACTGCTGCTGTTCTCACTTGTCAAGGGAAGAATGTGAGAAGCAGGTGCAGACTGTGCTAACGCAGTGTGTCTGGCCACCTGCTGAATCCACAGAGGGGAGAGAAGAGCATTCTGTAGCTATAGTCCTGGTAATGGAGAGCAGCCACCTGAGACAGTGCAGCCAGTTGCACTTTCCAGCTGTAAACATCCCTGCAGATCACGGACCAAGGAGGTGAGTTTCAAGTTTCTCTTATTACCAAATGAATCTTGTGCCAAAGCAGCAGTTGCCAACCCAATCAGGAATAAATACCAAATATTGATAATTCCAGCAGCAGATCGGACCTCTCCTGAAAGGAGAGCAGAGGCTGTTGTGCTCTAGAAGGAATTAATGAAGCTGATCTGTCCATGTCTATAGGTGAGAAACACCTTTCTGTACCATTCAAGTGGAAACGAATGGATCCTCTCCTACCTTCAGGTGCATCTGAACATTGAGGATATAAAAAACTTCAGGAAGCTCCTAGAAGAGCTGTGAGGGTTCTTACTGAAAGGAAAAAAGTGAAATTAATCACTGCTGCCAAGAGGTCAAGAACTCACCTTCTCTTGACTTTCAAGGTTAAGTTCCTGGATCTGATTATTCTTTCAGATGAAAGAAATGAAACTCATCTTGCATGCCAGGAGAGGAATACTGCGCGAGCAACCTGACCCATTGCGAAGTGAAGAAAGCATTTTTTCCTTGTGGATAAGGAATAGTTCAGGAACCTATGAAATCTGTATGAAAGATTGCAGGTGAATGTACCTCTGGTCAGCTCACCACAGCCTCGGTAAATATTTCTATATTGGTTATTTGCCAAGGGAATAAGGGTGGGGAAAGCACCATAAAAATGTAGAACACCACAAGATTGATTATAAGTAATGCTGTGTCAAAAATTGATTGTTACAGCTGATCACACATCCCAGGATACATGAAGAGTTGAGGGCCATAGCAGACAACAGGGGTTCCTCTTTACCAGGAGGTAAGAAATATACCCGCTTATCGCATCCCAGTGCAAATTCAAGACTTTGGTTTTTCTTTCAGAGCCTATGTTATATGTCAAGAGGGGAATGCTGCCAACTAATTGAGAACAAAGCAATGTATGTAGCCAGAGCTGCTGAGATGTAAGAGTAGCATCCTGTGAGTCTATTCACAGGAAAAGAGAGTAGCCACTTATCCCCAGCAAGTGTTAAACCACGCAGCTGGTTGCATCTCTCCAAACACAGCCACGCTCAGACCGTTCCCGGCAAGGAGGTGAGCATCTAAGGTTCCATTTTGCCACCTAAAGTAAATGAAAAATGATCATTTCAGTGAAGAGCCCTCCAGACACCAAACAAATCTGTCACATATTGATCATTACAGCACCTCGCACTTCTCCAGATGTCAGGAGAGCAGAGGGCTGTGCTTTGCAAGAAGCAATTAGGGAAGCTGATCATCCCCTTTCATGAGGTGAGAAATACACATTCTCAGAGAGTTCAGGTGACAATAATGGATCTGGTCAGTCTTTCAGATGGAAGAAATGCAGCTGATCTGATCTTCCCAGACAGGAAGGCTTGGAAGTTGCAAACAATCATGATAGCGATCCATTTTTGTTGACCAAAGGAAAAATGGAGCTGGGTGCTGGCTACAGGTCGGTAACATTAGTATTTAGACATCTCAGTAAATAAGAGGGCAACTGACCACAGTGGAGAGGTGAGTATTTGAACTGCTCTTGCAAGAGATTAGCTGTGCTACTGATTATATTTGTGCAGAATTGTTCATTGCACTTTATTGTCCTTTAGAAGTGCAGGAAGAAGATACATGAAGTGGATCATTTCTGTTTTGAGGTAAGACATGCTCCGTCTCATGGCAATAATCTAGAAGTCAATGATTCTGGGTACATTTTCAGATTCTTCAGCCATTCAGAGGGGAATACCACAAAACTGATGACGGCCATTCTTGCGGAGATCTAAGAAAAGCATCTCCTCTCTCTAGTTAAGGGACCACCTATCAAGATTTAGACATTGCAGAAGATGTTACCTCTCAAAAGGAGAGCAATGCTTATTCCATCACTGACAAAGAGGTGAGCATTCAATGTTCTCTTCATGCTAAATAAATCGGATGCAAACCAACATTTCAATGTAAGACCCCCAAAATCTGAAAATACTTAGTAATAATAAAGTATCTTTCAAATACGGTTTATTACAGCTGATTGGGCTTCAAGCTGTGGGAACAGTAGGAAGATTTATGCCAGGAAGATATACAAAAGGTGATTGTTCCTGTTGAGAGGTAAGAAATGCCTTCCAGCATTCCTTTGGAAATAAATGGATGAGACCATACTTTCAGGTACAAGAAATGCAGCTGATCTTCCCTTTGGAGAGAAGAAATCGACAAGCAGTTGACAAACTGCACAGATCAGCAAATTTCTGAAAAGAAATCAACTCAGTGACCAGATGGGGAGTAAGGAAAACTGGGACTTTCCCCTGTAGTACAATGAAGCTGGTGGTATATATGAAGAGAAGGGATCTAGGGTTAGCTGTTAGTGAATGAGCAATTGAGCTGTTTGTAATTTTCCAGATGATAGTAGCCCAGCTGGCCATGAAAAGTAAGAAAATACTTTTGTTTTTACACTCTGACTGGGTGCTGAACTATGCAGTTGGGTCTAACTCCGTCAGGTTATGGCTCAGAGAAAATTGGCTGTTCTAACGGGGAAACGGTGTAGCTGTCTCTGTCAGTTAGATTCGCAGTGCATCTGCTTCTGCTATGAGTGGTGTTGAAATCCACCTGGCAAGAGAGACACAAAGGAGCTGGTTGTGAATATAGAGAGAGGAACTGGAAGGAGAAGTTAGTGCAGGGGAAGAGGAAAGCAATATAAGAGGTTGTGTCTGTCAGGACTGATCAGTGGAGCTGGTTGTAACTGTCACAGGTCAGCAATATCTGGTTGTATCTGTGTGTTAATGAAGGGGCTGATTGATACCTGTCTACGGAGGAAGAGGCTGTTGGACCCACCAAGGATAAAGCAGTGCAGCTGGTCAGAGCAGCTAGTAGGGAAATGATGCTGCTGCTGGTGGTACTGGTGAAGAAATAGCATTCACCTTGACAGGGCTGTGGGAGGATTCAAATTCGTATCTGTTCACCTGCTGGGGGAAGGAGAGCAGTTGGTTCTGTCTGCCAGGATGGAAGCAATGAAGTGAGTTGTACCTTATCAGAGGAAAGCACTGGAGATTGGCGAATACTGGGACACAGACTGTATCTCAAGGTGTGACTGGGGCAGGGTGTGTAACCATAGCAACCAGTGGGTCCTTTCCCATTGTGGTCCTTGCTCGCATGCACAGGGTGAAACTGATCGCCATGATTGGGGTCAGGAAGGAATTTTCCTCCAGGGCAGATTGGCCAGAGACCCTGGAGGTTTTTCGCCTTCCTCTGGGGCATTGAGCAGGGACCAGCCCTTAGGGCCATTTAGAAACAGACAATAAAAAATAATAGAAAGTGAAATGTGTCATCTTTCATCATTGCCTCTGTGCTTCTTTAAAAAAAAAGTTGTCCTCCCCCTCCCCCATACACATGACCCTTCCCCATCTCTCTGCACCCAGGACCTTCCCTCCACGAGCAGTGTGTCACCCTCCCCCACCCCCTGCAATCATCACAGCTCTCCCCACTTGTTTCCTTTGTTTCCTCTCCCTGTATTTATTCTATTTCCTCTTCCATCCCCCCCTTTTCTGGGGCTATTTCCATCAGATCTTTTCTTGTCTTTTGTGTTTCTTTTTTCTGCTACCTTTTGTTTTCTATCTTTTCTCTCCATTTACTTCCTGCAATGGGGTGGACAAGGCCCAGA